GCTTTCCGTTAGTTGCAATTCCTACATTTCGTTGTCAGGCCAACTTTACCGTTGCATTTCTCTTATCCCACTCACAATGCCCACATCAACCTCTTTCTCGAAAACTCAACCAAAAAAATACAAAAAAAATTATTTGTTGTCGTCTGCTAAACTTTTTTCGCTGCTTTTGTTGTTGTTGTTCTTATTGTTGTTGTTGTTATTGTTGTTGTTCTTATTGTTGTTGTTCTTACTGTTTATTACCTGTGCGCAATGCTGAGTGTTTTGTTTATTGCTCCCCGCCCTCCCCCATATCGAAAAGAGCAAAGGTAGCATTTTAGCTCAGTGGGTGCGAGGGGCGCCAGGGGGGGTGGGGTATTTGTCTATGACGCTATGAATTTATTGACTGGCACTTCAACGCTCTGGAATTTATAAATAATATTGAACTGTGGCAGGCTAGCGAACTATGCTCTTTTTTTTTTATCTCTTTTCATTCTGAAGAGGCGCTTCAAAATGTGGCTTCTGGGGGCAAAAGGGTTGTGAGTTTGATTGAATGATTGAAAATAAGACAAGGGCAAATCGAAGCACCGTTATGATTACATTTAAGTGGTACTAACTATAAAAACTAATAAATCAATAAGTACGTGTTTAAGTGTGCAATTTCAAAATATTGTTTATAGATGATTCAGACAAAAATCCCAAAAATTCGTTTCGTTTCAAACCAAAACAAAATGTCTGCGGTTGGCAACTATTCAAGGTTCCTTGTCCAATCCAAATGAACTGATATCATTACTATATCATAAGGACACTCTCTTCATCCTGCATATTATATATACTTAAGCACATATATTCTAATCATTAATGAAACTAACAGTCGAGAATAAAAACTGATGCATAAAGATAATCTACAAAATTGCATTGGAACAAAATGAAAAAAGTGTTTTTTTTATTTTTTTGTATTTTCATTCAGAAAGTATGTAAAAACCTTAAATAAATGAATATCAATCGAGCTCTTTATTCAAAGTCTTAACGCTGAGCTGTTTGCAAAAGCCATTATAGCCAATAAATGAAATTGACAATCGGATTCACTTTCAACGCAAATGTAAATACATAAATACATACCTATATATTTGCACCTCTATTCGCGGCCCGGCCTTTGGTCTCTATCACATTTTGGCCCCTCTGGGAATACAATTTCAGCATAAACTCAAACAACGACAACAATTGTAATTGAGCATTAACATAAGCTGACACCCAACAGCCCCCCCATCCCGCCCCATTTGCGCCCTCGGGCAGCGCTGCCATGTCAGCTCTACCGTCTAAAATCAACCATGCCCCCACTGTCTAAAACCCTTATATTAAAACCCATTTCAATTTTGGCTCCTCTTTTCATTTGAATGTTTCATTTTGAGCGTCAATTTATTGAATTTTAATTAATTTTATTATCAGGGGGATGTGAAATTGGGTGGTGCGATGGTTGTTGTTGGTAGTGGTGCTTGGAGCGTAAAGCTCTTAGTGATAGCATCGTTCCACGCCCACTCGACTGTTAAATGGGGCGTAGATATGCGAATTTTATACAAATGCGAAAAATTATGGAAACTGTTCTTGTTTTGCCGCATCAACATAAAAACAAATGTGTGCGGCTCAACGGGGTTGGGCCGGAGCATAGTGGCAGGGGGTGTATGGAACAGCAGGAGGAGTGGGTGTTTTTTGTTTTTTGTTTTTCGTTTTTTTTTTTTGTATTTTAAGTTTCAGCTGCAGCCAAGGTCAAAACAGTTGTCGGCAAGGGGCCCTGTCAGTAGGAGGCTCATTATGCCAAGCCTCCGCGTCTTATTTGCCACTTGGCATACATTTGCCAATAAAATTAAAGAGATGGAAAGAGAGTAGGAGAGACAGACAGAGAGAGAGAGAGAGAGAGAAAGAGACAGCTGCTTAGGGATAAAGACAGGTAGACAAGTTTGGGATTCGAGCATACTAAAATAAGAGCTGCAGTTGGGAAACCATGTACGGAAATTCAGGCAAGACAACTCGTGGCTTTTCCCATACAGAAGAAAAGAAGCTTATAAATAGTTGAAAATTAGCTGAACTTAGGGGTGAGAGGGGTATAACGAGCATAAGCTAAGCAACTTGAGAAGCTTTTGATATGTCAGGTCCCCCATCATTTCTCGTCTGTCGCTGTTATGTTACTCGTTCTGTCTACTCTCTACTCGCTAGTCACTACTCGTTACTTGTTACTAACCACTCGCTACTCGCTACTACTTCAACTTGCTCGCTTTAGGCCACTTGCTTTTATCTTTTCGCTATTCACTTCTCGTCACTCGCTACTTGCCACTCGCCCGTTGCTCAGAAAACTGACTAATCCCATTCAAAGAGCAAAGAACTGTTGCAGCTAGCAATATCGAGAACAGGGCCATAACGCAGCGGACAGTGGGTGAAGAAATTGTTTTTATTTTATTGCCTATTGGCTTGTGGAGAGACGGAAAGTTGTCGGCCACTTAAACTCGATTTGTCGCCATCACGTGGCCAATTAGCACGCAATGCACATAAAAACAACAAGAGAGGAATATAAAACAAACAAGAAAATGAAAACAAAAGCCCAAAATAGCAACAACAACAACAATAAAAAGAAAGAAAGAACAAATAGAAGAAAAAAAGAAATAAACAAATAGCAACACGTTCCCGCCGCTTCCCTCTGACCTCTCACCCGCAGCCCTATTGAGTTGCATGTCTGTTGGCCATTGGATTGGACGTGTTGGAAGCACTTTTTGGGGGCACTTCAATCACTTCATCATAACCCGAATTTCAGGGAGAAACGTAGGCAGCATAAAAACGCCAAATGAAAATACGCAAATGAAATTGGGCTTAAGTGGGTTACAGACAGAATGGATGGACAGAGAAGTGGGCATAGAACTCGGGCTTACAAATTGGCAATATTATGGGGCACAGCACAGGAGCACACAGCAATGAAACGAATAAAAATTGAGTGGATCGCCTGAAGTGTGCATGTGGAAATGGTAAACTATATTCAAGAGATGGGGAAGAAGTAAAGGACTTGACTGAAAGTCAAAGAATCACAATTGGAATGAACGAACAACACTTACAAAAGGCTAGTGGTAGCAAAAATGATAACAGCCTTAATAAAACAGTTAAAGCCATACAAATATGCAGCTGGAGGAATGCACAGACACTGAGGGAATAGAAAGAGAATTCAAAAATTGAAAAGGCTTTAAAGAAAACAAAGTTATTATGAAAGAAAATCTGTTGTATACTGAAAACAATTAATATGAAAAAAATGGAGTTGTTTAAGTTGCGATATGTTGCAAGAAGTAATGGAAAAATCTTGTATTTATATAATATTTAATTGAATGTTAATATTATCGATCGAATATTATTTGATTTCGAGTTTCCTAGTTCGTTCTCACTTTTTACAGCTTTGTCAACGACTTTCCGCTTAAGATTGCATTTAAGATTGCATTTAAGAGCTTAGCTTAAGATTTGTCGCTCCGTTGTCCAATCAAGTGACCACAAAATGTGTTTGCGGTTCATTGAGCCCATAAAGTGGTCAGCAATAACCATTCGACTGCACCGCCCTTTTGCCCAGGGGCGTCGTAGATTGCATTTGTCTGTGTCCCGTTGCGAAACCGTTTCTGTGGCTTCTCTTCAATTTCCCCTTTTCGATGTTGCCTTTCTTAACCAGTTTTCACAATTCTCTCTTTTGTTTCCCAAATTGTTTTGCTGCCACCAAGTATGCCATGTGGCATCCGGCATTTGGCACTTGTTTTTTAGACTTGCCTCAACTTCCGGCACGACAAACTGCCAGCTGCCCGCCGCTTGTTCTCACTCTCTGCTCACTCTCCCCTCCCCTCCTCTCCGCCCCCACACCTTACTCATCGCCTACATCGCTTTGCAGCACATTGGAAATGCCGGCAAATTTACGCGAATTTCCGCTTGACGGAAATGCACAAAATGAAATTGAAAGCTAAACGCGAAGGCTATGCGGGCAGGGTTGTATGAGAGGTATGCGTGTGTATGCGTCTGTGTGTGTGTGTGTGTGTGTGTGTGTGTGAGTGTGTGTATGGCACACAATAAGCACCGACAACTTGAGCTGTCATCATCACATGGACAACAGCTGGCAACAACAGCCCCTTCCCCGCCCACTCATTTACCTGCCGCTTTAGTTTTTTAGTGTTGTTGCTGTTGCATTTTAGTGACTGGCGCTTGGCATTGACAGTCAGCGAGATAAGGCGACCTCTTTTCGCTGTTTACCTGTGTGTTTACCTGTATGCGTTCAGTTATCTGACTGTTGAGTGTGGAGAAATAGTGTTTACTGAAACCATTATGCCTTGAAATTATTGTATCGATTAATGACAACGGTTCTGTTGTCTTCATCATTTCAAGATTCAACTATATTTCATATATATATATATATCGTATATATATGTATATGAAGTTTACTTGGTTCTAAATACTTGCTAGTGTTGACTGTAGAAAAATGCTTATAAGGGATATAAAAGCAGCTTGCTGAAGATGGTCATCAATCTATCCCTATTCTTATATGCCTTTCCACTTGTATTTCGAAAATTATTCTTAATTGTTGCTTTCATTTCAATATGCAGTTGTACAACCAGTGAATTTTAATCATTTTACACAGGTTTTCGTCTATTTCTTTTGGAGAATCGAGCACGCAAAGCTACAGAAGACGAGGGAGAAGCAAATTCTATCAAAATGCATGCATTTAAATGCCAGTAAATAGTGTTTATGCAAGTGCAGTGTGACCGCCTTTTGTGTGTAACTACGCAAGCCACAACAACAATACAGTTTAGGGGTTTAATGGGCGCCACTCAAAAGTATGCAATGGAAATTGGCACGAAATGGCAAGTCACGTGAAAGTGAGGCAGCAGAAAACCAAAAATAAAATGAAAATAGGCAAGGAAAGAGGAGAGAGGAAGGGAGAACAGAATAAATCAAAAAAAAAAAAATAAAAGGAAAAATAAAAAGAAAATGAAAATGAAGCTTGTCATAAGCAAGTCAAATGGTCGCCTGTCGGCGTCGAAAAATATCTAAAAGTAATCCGCTAAAGTAGTTTCACAGTCAACTATCAAAGGAGGGGGGAGTGAGAAGGGGATTAGTTTCACAGCTTACAACAATTTGTTGCGAGCAGCAGTCAAGCAAGCAACAAAACAAAACAAGAACAACAAAAATATTGCTCATATTGCGCTGAGCATGGCACAAGCAAAAGCTAAAAGCGAAAACGAAAATGAAAAGCAACTGCAAACGTTGTCGTCAACATTTAGCTTACCTACAAATAGAGGTAAGGCAGTAGCAGTAGGTGGGGGAGGGGGTGTGGTGGGTTTAGAGACAACTAACTGTTACTGTAACTGTAATACTTTAAGCCTTTACGCAGACGACAAACACAGCAGTCGTCGTCGTCACAGTACCAAAAAGGGAGCAAAAGACAGAGGGAGAGGGAAAGGAAGAGGGAGAAGGGAAGCGAAGTCGACCGCAGGCGACAACCGCATAATGCAGTGGGGCGACTGCGATGCGAACAGCGACGTCAACGTTCGCGTCGACGTCAACTGCTGCTGTGCTATTTTTATGCGACGTTGGCTAAACACTAAAAGTAGGCAAACAACAGAAGAGAAACAACAAACCGACAACAGCAACAGCAGCAGCAGCAACAACAATAACAACGAAAAGCAGACTCATATATAAGTATGAGAAGCAAAAAAAAACAATAACAGGATCAAGCTGGTTAGATGCAGGAAACGGCATTAAGCACATGCTCGACTTAAAGCACACCCTTGAAGCCAGCATAATAAATAAAAAGAGATAGCAAATTCACGACTAATATATGCAAATGCTCGTCTAGAATTGGAATCGAATTGGTTTTACCGATGACAGTTGGAATACGCTAATAACAGTTGTAATCGCTAGTTGTATTATCGATAGCATACACATATATCGATATGTGCGTTTTTTGATGCCTGTAAGAGTTAAGACTAAAGCAGTGCATCCTATACAATATACCCCATTGGCAGTCATGCTAAAGGGTATCAGAAAGATTTGCACAAATAAAACTGAGCTGAGCAGCATTTCAAGCGGCTGGAAATGCGGCAGAGCAATAGAGAGGGGGCATGAAAGTGAGAGAGAGAGAGAAAGAGAGAGAGAGAGAGAGGGAGGGGCTGAGAAAGAGTGAGAAATCGAAAGACAGAGCGAGAGGGCGAGGGGAAGACCAAAGAGCAAAGAGGAAAGTTTGCTCGCACAAGCCGAAAGCCAAACTGAGTCTGAATCCCTAATCCAAATCCCATATGTGTGCGTGTGTTTGGTTGCATATGTTGCCACTTCAGTTACAACATTGACCATGACACCCCTTCCAGAAACAACCACCACCACTCTCCTCTCCCTCCCCCAGCTGATGGCCACTTGCCGTGCGGTGCTATATAATCACATTTTGCGCTAGTTTGAAATTTCGCTTTGAGCAAGTTGTTAGACATGCGCTTCCGTTTTACGCTGTTTCCGCTTCCGTTTCCGTGTGCCGTTTCTTTTTTTTGTTTTTTGTAGCAGCGGCACAGATGCTAAGCTTGGACTGGGCCACAGACCTTATGCGTGTCAGATTTTCACGGACACACATGCCAGATATATAGAGAGAGGCAGTATGTTACCCACCACCCCGATCAGGGGACTGAGAATGGGCCTGCTAGCCACATGTGCGCCATAACTCAAAGCCAAAAGCATTCTGGCTCGCCGCACTAACTCCTTGATTTGGCCAACTGCTTGGAAAAAAACTGCATATGATTTATTATGGCACACTCAGTTGTCCATTGCAAGACCAACCCCACCACGACCGCATCCCAAGAGAAAAAAAATAGGTGGCCAATTAGCTGGCGCTAATGATCTTAAGTAAAAGCTCTCGCTGCACATCCTCCACTGAAATGATTAGCGCTTATCGCTCATTAGCCAACAATTTATTTATATCCGTTTTGGGCCTTTGCTTCAGCCACTTTCCCCAATTAGTTGCGGTCATTTTTGTTATTGCTTAAAACAGTTAGTTGTGTTCTATAAGCGAGTGCACTGAACTGTGCTCTTTGTCCTTGTTATTGTTATCAAGAAGATTGATCCTATAGATAATATATATGAATAGATATAAATATATATAGATTGTAAAATTTATTCATCATTTCGAATATGTATTTGAATTTGTAGATGGAATGCAGTTTATATTATTATAGAATCTAAATTAAAGAAAACTAAAAAAGTATTCAGCCTAATCCGACATATATCTTATATAAATATCATATATCATATATTAACTTTGTTACCCTCATTTCTTAAATATGTTTTTTTTTTTAAGTATTTTCTGATTAAATTAATAAAATGGTAATTTGAAAATTGTTGACGGGCAACACGAATATAAAATGAAATGTGTCTCTTAATATTAGTTGGAAGCTAGACTTCTAAGCTCATTTAACGTATTTTCGACTTTAATTAATGGTCGCTATTAAAAAAAGGAAAAATAATGAAGGCAAATCAAATTAAACACACACAGGAAGCAAATAAAATGTAACAAAATAAAAGAGAGTTTTGCTAACGCAATGCGAGAAATCTCTGATTGAGTGGCTGGGCATGGCCTAGGGGCGGCAATTAATTTATGAGCCACACCTCCTCGCAAACACACACACACACACCCACACAACATACACACGCACACTCACATTAATTAATTACTGTGATTTCCTTCAGCGCGCGCATTTTTTTTTTATATATATTTATATATATTTATTCTGTTTTTCTCCTTTTTTTTGGTGCTTGTTTTGTGCCGCTGATTTATGTGACGTCGACTGCAACGCTGACGGCGACGTCGACAGAGACTGGTGCTTATTAATTTGCCACAACAATCACTGCTGCAACAACAACGACAACAACAACAACAATGGCACAAAAGGTCGCACAATTTGCTTGAAGTAGCTTTGCTTGCTTTAAGGTGATGCAAAGTAGTCAGGAGTGAGGGGGTGCGGGTTGGAGGTTGGGGGTGTCTCTGGGTTGGTTAGTCCAGGGTTGGATAAAGGTTTTGCAATTTAGCTTAAAGCGGGTCGCGACTTTTATTTCGTTTTTTATTTGGCTCTAGCATAATGCGCTTTGTGTGCGCGGCTCGCATTCGAGTGTCTTTGTTTGGGTCTGCCACGCCCTTCTCCACCCTTCTCCACCCCATACCCGTCCCACTCGCACCGCTCTACCTCGCCCAGCTGCGCTGCCGACAATTGTCAACAGGCAAACAACAACAGACAGTCAAGTTATCCTAAATAAACACATTTTCCAAGCTTCGCAGCGCAAGCAATTTTTTTTTTCCGCCTACTAAGTCCAAGCCTCTTCCTCCCTCTTCCCCCCTCCGACGATTCAGTTGCGCTTTGTTAGTCTTTGGGCATTCAGCAAACTGTTGCTGCTGATGCGCCCCACACAACCAGTGAGAGTCTGCTCAACTTGCAGATATCCTGCTCAAACTGCCACAATTTACAACTCAATTCAAACTCAATTCAAACTCAATTCAACTTCATTGAATTAAGTAGATATGTTCAATAAAATAAGCTAAGTTTGTTTGTGTGCAATGAAAAAAATAATAATCAAATCGAATCGAAACGGGAAACACTCCTTTTGCAGGCAATTCTACAGGGTATAACAACAAGAGCAGCAGCAACAGCAGCAACAAGCTTGGCTCGTTGTTCGCTTATAGGGGTTGTTTATAGGGTGGCAGAGAGAGAGGGTGTGGAGGGGAGGTGGGAGGTGCTGTTGGTGCACGTGTAGGGTGCTTTGGCCGGGCGCAGCTTTCAAATTAAACTCGCAAGAAAAACAAATTAGGCGCCACCGGACAACGTATTTGTCTGATGTTTGTTGTTTGCTCGCTTTGCTTGTTGGCCAACACGAGAGAGGGGTATGTAAGTGTGTGGGTGTGTGTGTGTGTGTGTGTGTGGGGGGTGTTGGCCATATTCATGCATACATATATAATTGTGGCACAGCAAGTGGCCGCTCAACTTGTCGCACGGCTCGTTGCAGACACTTAATGGGCCCTGCTTCAAAATGCTTTAATATTAAGTGTCAGCAGATTTGTCTAATCGGGCTATCTCGCTCGTGCCCCCCCTGTCCTCTCTCGCTCCCTATCTGTGACCTGCTCACACATTTGACTAAAGTTGATCATTTTTTTGTCATCCAAGTCAAAAGTCAAGCATCAAATTTTAAGTTGAGCCATTTTCCTGCTACTTTTGTTAGTTGTACCAAAGCTTGAAGTGTGAGGAGGGGAGGGGAGGGGTAGCAAAACTAATCGCATTTAATTATTAATGTGGCATATACTTTCTGAAACATAGTACTGCATACAGAATATTTGGGATTTCAAACATAAAATTTAATCCCATATTCCGAGCTGAATTTAAGCACTCAATTAAAATGTTTGCTTCGCGTGTCGAAAACTGACAACTTATTTTTATTTCATCTGCAATTTGTAGTTTATTTTTCAGCTGGGTTATTTCTTATGTGATACTATTTCGACTTCGAGTAATAAAAGTGTGCTGCTGTTTCTAGTTGAGTGTTTGCAAAAGAAAATGATTGTTTTCGATAGATATCTAATTTGGAGATCTCGCTCAATCGGATTTAATTTACCAAGAGCGACTTAGCTTGTGCCGTGTTTTGACTTTCCATTTGTGGCATATTTTGTGTTTTTTTTTGATTGCATTTTAAACGTTTCTATTTGCCTAATTGTGTAATGAATCAATTGCCAATAAAATCGATTCGCATGTAGCGAAGTGGGAATCGAAATTGCAGTGGATTTAATGGTGGAACTGGTGTCATTTGCATAATTAATCAACTTTGTTTTCCCTGCAACTTCGTTTGAATTTATTTTGGTGTCAGTGTGCGTGTGTGCGTGTGTGCGTGTGTGTGTGTGTGTGTGTGGGTAAAGTAGCGCAATCTGTGATGGGAATGGATGGACATATGTGGGTCATTTACATATGAACACATGTGTATATATAGAAATCCGATT